ACTAGGATACTTCCTCTTTACAAGGAGACAGTCGTTGGAAGCATCCTTTAATATAGATTTCGCTTTCGCTCTTATATTCGAGCCAAGTTTGCGGTTGCCTGGGTACGATCTCCGCGTCCCTCCACCAGACATCTGTCCAACAGAAAGATATGGCAGAACAGGCTGGCTTCGCCTAGCCTTGCCCGCGTTGTTCTTAGGGGCTCTCGGTCCGTTCTGACTCACAGCAACTGTGGACAGCAGCTGGCACACCGGCTGGCCTCGCCCGTCCTCAGAACAGCTGCTCGGCTTGAGCCCTTGGTTGCAGCCATCACGTCGGCCCTTCTTGCAGACGGGCTCCCTCATTGTTGCAAGGACTCGGCTTTATCGAGCATGAGCGCCTCTTCCCGAGACTGGTGTCTTCTGATAATCCAGAATATAGTTACTGTGCCGTACAATTCAATAGTTCAATCATATTAAGAGGGGGTTATAATCATCACTGCAATCCATTTTGCAACATTTCTCTCCTTCTTGTACTTATTTATATTAACTTCCCATTTCCCTTGACCTCCCTTTCAGTACCCCCAGGTAATTATTATTAATCCAGTTACTGGCTTCATGGATGTACCCATCCATACTTCCCTATACAGAACAAAGGCACACACACACAAAAAGGAGCTAGCAACAATGACCAAACAAAATGACAACAACAAAAAACCAATAGAAAAGGAAGCCGAAAATAGTTTTAAAAAATTAAAATAAATTCAAAATGGGTCAAAAGGGCGATCAAATGACAAGGTGTGACATTCCAGACTACCTACAGCTGCTTAAATCCACTTTACAGTGCTCTTGGTCTGATATTAAGGATATTCACATTCAGAGACTATGGTCAGTGGGGATTCACCAGAGACTCAATACATGGAGGCAACTTGCAAATGGATTTTGGACTTCCACTCTCATCCATAGTGTTCTTCAGACTGGGTGCTTATTTGTTAGGCTCTGGAACCATTCCCTATACCAGGTATGGATTTTATTATTTGCAATCCTTGGATCGCCTAGGCTAGCATGCATTTTTTTTTTTTTTTTTTGTAGACTTAGCTGACAGCTCATTTAGATGACTGCTTGTTTTAAGACTAGCCTTCATGGCTCCAGACTCGCTTTTATCTTACAGTGGGGCACCACGCCTGATAGATTTGTACATGTCACAAAAGCAGGTGGAACAAGAAAACAGAAAATATGTTTTGGTTCCAGATTGCCATTCACTGGGCATAAAGCAACAGATCCAAACCAAATCCAAGTCCCCTAAACACCAATTCCCTAACCTTGGGATAGAGACTACCTGCGTCTTCTCTCACTAGAGCATTTCAGCTTTAAGTTCAAGAGATTATTTTAGTCCCTTAAAGATGCTACAAATGAGTGTAAGGTAAAGTTCAGTTTATATAGTAGGATTTCCAATTCAGATCATTTTGATGTCCTCAATGAAGGGTGTTGTGCACCTCCAAAGGAAAGAGTCTAATGTCCCTGTTGTCTGTGGCACACTGCCCAGGTCACCAGGAGCTAGAGGGACACTAGGCCAGATGTGTCCAGTTCCATCCTCATGATTAAGGAGCATCCTAATGGTGCTTATTGCACGACAGCTCCATCTGTCCTGCCGGAAGTCCTGACCTCATCAATATTCTTCAGCAATTGAAGCCACATGCCTCCATTCTCCTCCGGTCTTCCTCATTCACCGGCCACTGCACTTAGCCCTCGCTAATTCCAGTTTAGACCAAGGACGTAGACGAAGTTTGTGTCCTTGAAGAGAGCAGGTACATATCCCCCTGTGCCCGGAAATCTCACCCCTTCCTTGTCGCCTTTCCTTGTCCAAATATCACCTCTTCTGTGAATTCGGCCTCGGTTTCCCCACGTCGGCAGCGGTGTTTCGCTACCAGTCCACAGCGCTTTCTCTAATGTTCACGAGCACCACCGTTTATGAGCAATCGTCTGCAGCCTTCCTACTCCCTTGTCCATCATTCCCTCGCACATGAGGTGATGGAAATGCCCGAAATATCCTGACGGGCATGTAAGTGAAGCAATAGTGAACTCAAATCAGTAAAGACGTTATTCAATGGAGAGCTTGTAAAAACACCTAGAGCTTGCATTTTACTTCCCCTTCCATGCCCAACCCAGCAGACAGTCATACAAAGTCTCTCTCTTCCTTTTAGAAAAACCAGTGGTTCGAATAAGAGAGAAAGAGAAATTGAGAGAGGAAAAGATCAAAACCCAGATCTAAAAATTATAAACGTAAGCCAAACCAAACAAGCAAAAGGAGAACGAATATATGAGATGCATTTGCTGGCTCATCTTGTAGGTGAACATTGCTGGGTATTGGCTCAAGTTTAAATTTGAAAGAAAGGCACACTGCGTGGATTCCTTTTGAATATGGGTCATAAGTGGCACACAGAGCTAGGAAGTGTAGGCTGCAGTGCTAGACATTCGCCAGCAGAGGGCAGGCACAACTTTGCCTGCGTTTCTCCCCAGAGGAATGTTGTCCTCATAGTTCACATAAACAGAAAATTGGGAATTTTGTTTTTAGTGGTAGAATAAGGAAGGCGGTGGGTGTAATTCTCCAGTTTCCCGTGGGAACATGTTTGAAGGTTTTAATTTGATGCTCTAAGTTAACGAACATCAGCTGCATTTGGTTGGAACCGTAACTGAAGTAAAACTTACCGTTGAGAAGCAGTGTGACATACAAAATGCTGTGCGCAGGGACTCACGTGCCTTAGCAGATCTAATCATTACAAACACAAAAAACATCGATGCAGGTGTGTTATTTTTAAAGTCCTAGTTTCTATGTTCACAAACAAAACAACACACATGCAAATTTTAGATAATTGAAGTCATTGTAAAGCCTGAGAACAAAGCATACGGTTTGCTTATTAAGTTATATAAGCTCCTGCATAGAACACTCCCAGACGTCAACTGCCACGTTTGTGAGGCGTGTCATCCATAGGCGGTGATGAGTTAAGCGCAGTCTCTTGTGCTGCGGAGCCCAAGCTGGCTTCAGATAGTGGGTCCTTGGGAAAGAACAGGGGGGAGAGAGAGACCAGGAAAGACAGTCTAGAAGCCACTATTTCAAAATCCTAGCTTTGAAATCACATTCACTACATGAAAGGAAAACACAATGATTAAATACTGATGGGTATTTGCGAGTGTGTACAGTAGATTTCATTGGCCTTGTCTCCCTACATAACTTACCAGACTTGCTTGTGCTGCCCTTTACCTTGCTGACATTTCGTTAGCATGGTCTCCATGTCAATGCAGGGAGAAAGTGTGTTTATAGCAGCAAAATCCTCTTCAGGCACAAGTGAACTCTCCCACAGCTCTCTGAGACTTTGGTTATGATCAGCAGTGACTGGAAGCTAAATCTGAGTAGAATTGTGCAGAACAAAATCAAGATATTTTTAGTTCATTTCAACAAACAGTTTTGAATGTTTACAATGTTGCCAAGCGTTGTGCTAGGCCCAGGAGTTCAATGGTATTTAAGACTCGGTCCCTGCCCTCAAAGGGTGTTCCTCCCTAACTTGGAGACTAGATGCATAAATCAATGGTCATAAGGTACTATGATAAACCCTATCATAAAAGTGTGTGTAATGTGCCAGGGTGACTGTCAAAGGATCGATGTCTCATTCTCCCCATAGACAGTGGGTTGTCCTGTGGGTTAATATTTTAGACGCTGTCTTTTTAGAGTTCAGCCTCAGGATGAGATGAAGTATGGCTCAGAAGGTTAGTTTGGAAGCCGGCCTGAAGCAGTGTATGCATGTAATGATGGAGGACGTCATATAATATGGAAGGACACAATATTGGGACCGTATCTGCACACTAGCATGCTGGTGGTAGACAGCAATGGTGCAATGCTGCTGCTGCCCGTCAGCCCTTCAACAACTAACCTATGCTTGATACGGTGGTTGATGGCTGCTGCCAAGATAGCCTTGAGGCATGGTGCCCACCAGGCACAACAGAACAAAACGCTGCCCTGTCCTTCACTACCTCTGTGATTGATCATGGGACTGGATCCTTGTAATCCATAGGGTTTTCATAGACTGATTTTCCACAAGTAGATCACCAGACCTTTCTTCCTAGTCTGTCTTAATCTGGAAGCTTCCCTGAAGACCATTGAGCATCATAACCGCATACAAACTTCCAGGGACAGATACTTTATGGTTGAGCGTGAGGTGCAGGCGCCAGGAGGGTCAAACCCAGGCCTCAGGTGTGGAAGGTGAGCATTCTCTCCCTGAGCCAGCATTGACCCCAACACTCATGTACTGCATGAAAAATGCTGCATCATCCATTTGGGAACAATAGGAAAGGGATTGGAATAGAAATTCAGATCCACCCATGACACAAATACAGAATAATTTGTAGAGAAATACCTTACCAACTAGAATAATTTAATTGTCTTGCTGGAAATGGCTGAAGAATGGATCGACATCAACTCTCTCATTTTATAGATGAGGAAACAGACTTGGCTGTGAATGATAATGTCCTCCCCTAAATGTCACACATCTGTTTAATGGCAGATCTGGGATCAGATCAGGCCTCTCCAAAGATGAGTAGGGGAAGCAGTGAGGGGCTCTGCCTTTGAACTCCATAGTCAGACCACGTGGTTCAAATCCTCGCTGCTACATACAGAGTTATCTGAGGTGGGATATCTGAACTGTTTTCTGTTTTTCTCATCTGTAAAATGGGAATTCTCTTACGTTTCTCCCACAGAATATCTCTCACAGAAATAGCTCCCACATTTCAAGTGAGAGGGGATGCATATCATTAAGGCTATCATTAAGTTATAAAATCAGAGCATGCATCTAGACCTGGGCTTCACAGACTTGGTAAATGCTAGTCATTCGACCTCATGCGTCCCAATCCCTGAATTAATGTTCTTTTTGTCACAACCCAGCCTGGGACATGGGCTTGTGTTCATTTTTGCATTCCTCATGCAGACATCGTTTAGATCTGGACACTCATGGGGCATTCTCTTCTTCCAGGGCCAAGGAGATTAAGATCAAGTTGGGAATCCTCCTGCAGAAGCCAGACTCCGCTGGGGACCTCGTCATTCCATACAATGAGAAGCCGGAGAAGCCAGCCAAGACCCAGAAGTGCGTGGTGAATATGGATTCTCGTGTCCCTGCAAAGGGTGGCTGGGTTTCCAGTGTCCAGTGCTCCCTCCTCCCTAGACCACTCTTCTTCAGCTACTCAATGGGGATCACAAGGACCCTCAGTGAGGGAGTTTGTAAATAGCCTTTTTTTTTTTTAAGTACCATATATCTGGAGCAAAACCCTGACCGGCAGGATATGTAAACAATAAAAGGTAAGGCCCTACCTTGGAACTTAGTTGGAGAGACAGTACCAGTTCCTTGTCAGCTATTGCCTAACTTGGGTTAGGTAGCCAATCCTAACTATGATCATTGACTATGATCATTGGATGGTCACCTGCTAAGGAGCTGTATTAGTCTGGGTACTTTTGAGAAACAAATCCACAGAAACTCATGTATAAGAGAGAGTTTTATATAAAGGATAAAACTCAAGAAAACACCCCAACCCAGTGCTGCCCAAACCCACAAGTCCAACATTAACCCATATATCCAACACCAATCCACAAAGTCCTCCTCCATCTCACAAAGCAGACGCAATGATGCCGACTGCAGGAGGAAAGCCGAGTCAGTGAACGTGTAAACATCTCAGCACTGGCAGGGGTCTCCACACGGCTGCTCCAGCACCCAGGGCTGCATCGAGGTAGGCCCATGTGGCTTCTCCTTGGGGATGTCTTGTAGGAAGTCAGCCTTGCAAGCTGAAGCAGGGAACTGCTAAGGCAGCTGCACCCTGGTGCGACCATCACAAAGCAAGAAACCCAAGAACTCAAAAGGCGAGGCTCACGGAGCCATTTATCCCTCCACCCTTCAATTAACCCCACATGTGTTTATTGGCCAGGTTGGCACCATAAACTAACTAACTCGGGAGCTATGCAAAGCCATTTGCTCAGCAGGGAGCAGCAGTGGGGACATGTTCCTTGGGAAGCTGGTGAGGGCACCACAAGTACTTTAAGACGAATAGCTTCTTCTCCAAGACATTGACCCTGCAAAGTTCAACAGATGACAGGAAAACTGCCATTTGATGTGGAAATGAATCCTTGAATACCTATTTCTTTTTGAAGAACATCAAGCTCTGTCCTTGCTACCCTTAGTTAATTTAATATTCCTGGGTGATTGGATTTCTACAATATTCCCTTCTAACTCCCCTCAAATTTTCCCCTATATAGCTATCGACACATCTCCTTTCAATTGGGTGTAGTGGGAAGCCAGAAGGCTAAAGAACCAAGATGGCATCACCGTTAATCCAGCATTCCCAGTTTGCACTAGCACTTTAAATTTAATCACACGGCTCTCAGTGTTCCCGTGGTTCCTGTGGTTCCACTACCTCTATTGTAGCTTGTCACTGCCCCAAAAGGTCCACCCATCATCTCCTTAAAACAAGACAAAAGCCAAGAAAAGTGAGTGAAAAGAAGCAAAGTCCAAAGCAGTCCTTACTCCTTTCCTACCTAAAAGCTTTGAGGAGATGGCAGAGGCTGACCAAAGGACAGGGGTTCCTTTTAATGGGCATTTCCCCTGTCCTTTCAATTTGCTATTTGTCTACCATGGCCAGCCCTTCCTTTGCCCAAATGACCTTCAACTTGTAATTGACAAGATTGGTGGGGAGAGAGATACATTATTATTTTTCAATCTTCTTCCATCAACCTAAGTAGATATTTCTAATCTCTTTTTAGTACTTCAAAGTGATTCTAACCGGAAGTGAGGCATAATTGAGTTTTCTGCACTTAAAAAGAGGGGAAGTTAATTCACTGTGGAGTGGCAGGCACCAGGCACTGGTAGAGAAGAAGAGGCACATTTTAAAGAAGCCACAGATCAAAAGTCTGTTTTGCAGGAAACAATGTGGTCATGATTGATCTGTTGGAATTGACTTAAAAAAAAAAAGCATAGGCCTTAGGTCTAGCTTTTGATTCCCTCCTTCTACTATCCGCACCCACTCTTGACCTGCTGACTAATGAGCAGGCAATCAGAGAGAAGCTGTTGGGATGAAAAGCGGGGGCTGACATTTTTGGAATTCGTAGCTTTGCTTTCCTTCCATCTCCTTTCTTCTTCCAGGAGCTCGAATTGTTTTGGAAAATCCTTCATGTCCCTAGAGAGTCTGTATGTCTCTGTTGTGTAATTACCAGTGATGACTGCAAATCTTTACCACCCACTTCTAAACACCCCCCTGCCCCATCTCTGTCCTGGGGCTGAGCACACTTGTGTGTGTTTTGCCTGAATGAGAAAGATGAAGTTATCGTCTCTCTCCCCAACACTGCTCTGTGTCTTTTACCCATGTTTGTTTTTTGTACCCCTCAGAGAAGAAAACAAACTATTGTTAGTACCTCTCATCTCCTCGGGGTCATGGACACCCATTGAAACTCCTTTTTAAAAGTGTATTTTCCATTTTTAAAATGACTTACTCTTTTCGTTAGGAAAACAAGAAGCAACTGAGAAAAATAGAGAAGTGGGGAAAAAATGGAGGGAACAAAAGGATCCCATATCCTGTCCTTCCCGCAGTTTCTGGGAAGTGCAAATGATTGAACAGCAGACTGCAAGCAAATCCATCCAAGGAAGGCCTGGGGGTTGGCTTCTATGAGCTACAGCCTCGAACCCTCAATCGAGCGCATTTCTGCTTCGTGCACCTGCGGTGGCCAGGAGTCTGCCTTGACCCAACAGAACTAACAAGAGCCACCACGGCAAAGAGCCCTTCTCCCTCAACCCGCATTGCTCACAGTCCAGTCCCTCTCATCGCCCTTGTCCTTCCGCATTTCCTGTCGTCCGAGTGCCCTTAAGCCACTCGGAAAAACACATTAAACTGGTTTTACTCATTTAAAAAAAAACACCTTGTTATTGTGGGCTCATATAGCTCTTATCACAATCCATACATTTGTTGCCATCATCATTTTCAAAACATGGTTTTACTAATTTCTTTTAACCCTCCTGTGCCTGTCCCCTTTGCTTGCTTTCTATGGAAACTCTGGAAATAGAGGCCCAACCATTGCTTCCAGTGTGTTGTGTAACTCCTTCCTCTCAGGTTCCGGAGTCTGTGGGTGGCTGTGTGCTCCCACAAATCTTTACTGCTTTGGAAACCCTAGGAAGCAGTTCCACTCCACCCTGTCGGGTCACTGTGAGTCTGAATGGTGTCATGGACAGGGGTTCATTTTGCAATGCTTTGGGGGGCATGGGTGGGAGTGGGGGGAGTGGTACAAATGGTTAAATTGATTTATCACTGACTGAAAAGCTAGAAGTTTGAATTCACCCCGAGGAGCTTTGAAAGAAAGGCTTGGCAATGCATCCCTCCCCACCCCCCTAAATAGCCACTAACTAGCCTGTATGTTAGAATTCCCAAATGTTTCATAGAGGTGACTCAAATTAGTTTTCACCAAGCTGATCACGTTGCCTCGAAAGTGGATCAGGGATGTATGCATAAATGTTAGATATAGGCACAGATTTTGAGCTTGCATTTAATCATGAACACTAATCCAAGAACAATTAGTTCTTATGATAGGGTATGCTCAATACTTGCCCATGTGAAGTGATGAGTGAACATAGGGGTTCAATAGGAAAGGGTGGTAAAGAAGTCAAATGGTGTCTGGCTATCAGAAAGAAGAGCTTCTGAGGTCTTCAATGCATTTCTAGAACAGGGGTAAGGAATGTCTGGACCCATTGGTCATATAAGACCCACAAAATCATCATCAGTACTGTCTAAAATCACATGCCTCAGCAAAGAGAAGCAGTTCCAGCCATCACATTCAGAGTGAGTTAACGAAGTTTGCCCAAATATAGCAGGCTAATTTTTAAGTTGATAATTGTGTATGACCTGTGAATGATGTGATAAATATCCAATTGGCCCTTGGTGCCCCCCACACACACACACAAAAAAAAAAGATTCCCCACCCCGGTCTTAAAGCTAGCAGCCATCTAAGTGAGGTATAAGCTATGTTCATATGGAAGGAGTACACTAGCCTGTGTGATCCAAGGATTGTAAATAATAAAATCCAAGATTAGAGGAGGAAATTGTAGTAGTGCTCACATTCTGAGCACTGGTTTGCAGAGGGCTGTGGATAACAGTGAGAGGCCAAAATCTGTTTGCAGAGTGCCCACAGAGATTAAGGCCTCATTAAATACTCTCAGACCACTGACCAGGGAGGTGAATAGTTTTGCCCTCAGACAAAGTGCATTGGAAAATGGATTACTACAGATACATTTAAGTTAAAATTTGACATACTATTATTTGTTTTCCCCTATGACTCATTTTAAATTTGTTCTAATTTCTATTGTTTTTCTTCCTCTTGAGTTGACGTTGCTCTGTGTTTCATTTTTGTTGTTGTTGGAATTTTTTTTGTATTGTTTTTTTTATATGAAATCCAGGATGCGTAAATCTATAGTGACAGGAATTAGATGAATACTTTCTTAGGGTTCTGGCAGGGAGGTTGGCGAGTAATGGAGAGCGAATAATAATAGGTACACAAATGAATAAAATGTTCTGAAATTGGGGTGATGGCTGCACAACTTTTTAATGTATTTAAACAATTGAATTGTATGGTATATAAAGTATATATCAGTAAAACGGTTTCAAAAATAACAACCCCTTGGATCACTGTGAGTTGGAATCCACTCCAGGGCAACTACCACCACCACCCACGGCAGTGTCCCCATTGTCAGACCTGTCGGTGCTCTCTGACTCTGGGCTCAAGAGCCCTTTCCCACGCTACCCCCGCCCCTTCTCTTTTCTCTACCCGCTCCTACTTTTGCTTTGCTTCCCCTCTCTATGACCACATCTCAGAAGGGTCTGCTGTACGTTTTCAAGAGGAAAACTAGATGGATTGTGAAGCCATGCATTTCTAATCTGTGAAGGCTGTTATCCCAGATTATAATGATATCTTTATAGTTTTCTGTTTACCAGGTATTCCTTTCTTCCTGCTCCAGTAGCTGATTTTTACTTCCATCTCATTGTGGCCTTGCACTGTTGTCGTGCTAGCTCAAAGCCTGTGCAAAGTGGGGAACAGTGACGAAACATGTTTTCATGTACGCGTTTCTTGCTGGGTTATGTGTACCGTGAAGATCGGGGAGAGACTTGGGATGCATGGACACATTCAGCAGCACTCGTTGGTAAATCTGACTTGTGTTGAGCACCACTCGACCCAGCTGATACTGAGTTATCACTAATGCATATGGTGACTACACATTACATTGTTGCTTTGTATTCCTGCGGGATATATGCGAGTCATGTGAAAAATCAGTGCATCCGTGCCAGGCGTGTATCACAGGTGAAAGTCATGCATGCATAAGGGTGAGAAAGAAAATTGTAGATGCTGGTTGTCAGGGGCAGGGGGGAGGATAGAAGGGGAAGACATTATTTAGGAAGCATTAAGTTACTATATTTGATGATAGCAAATTTGGTCATGGGTATCAGTGGCAGTTATAAAACATGATTAATGCAATGCATATTATTAAATTGTACACTAAAAATGATCAGATTGCCACCTGTTGTGTTCTATATATTTACAATGAAAACTTCTCTGGAGGAATACAAGATGTCTATGCACGTTTTGACCCACAAATGGACATCAATGAGTGGAAGGGAGGCCAGCTCAGGCACTGATACTAGTTGCTACTGAGACCATTCCATTGCATGGTGATGTCCTGTCTGTCCGAGGGGAGCTGCGGCCCATCGGGTTTTCAACAGCTGAAGTTTTTCAGAAGGAGATTCCCGTGGCTTTTTTCAGGGGCACCTCTGGGGGAACTCAATCCTCCAGACTCGTGGCTAGCAGCCTCGCCTAACCATTTGCACCGTTTAGACTCTTCCTGGTACTTGCCAGTGTGAGTGGAGCTGTTATTAGGGGCTGGTATGACTCCATGTGGGTCATAGGGACCCATGGGGCAGAACAAAGCTGCTCCAGTGAGACTTCCGCAGGATGTCACAACCTGAGGGGTCACTTTTAAGGCAGCAGGTCATCAGGTCTCTCTCCCGTGGGCTTCCCGGAGGGGCTCAAATGGACAGTTTCCCCCTAGCAGCCTAGTGCTTACCCATTGCACCTCCAGGGGCTTTTTATAAATGCCAATACTTACCTTGAATTTTTACTTTCTTGTAAACAGGGAAGGCATGGGAGGACTTGCATTCTAGGTTCTGTGTGTCTTTATCAAAATCGATACATACATGTCCCACAATAAATGAGAGGCAACATTTGTCTATAGATTAAAGGAAAACAAACCAATAACAATAAGAAGATAAAACAAGAGCAAACCAACAGCAACAAAACAAAACAAACACTTGGTACTTAGAGAAGTTAAAAAAAAAATTACCATGGTAACAAATGATAAACGACACAGTTGCCAACAGCTATGGGAATGGTTCATGGGAATGGCCACTGAAGTCTCAGTCTGGGGTTATATTGGCTTTCACCAACCAGGCAAACTCTAGGTCATAGGTTCCCAAACTTATTTGACCTTCTGTCCCCTTTACGGGGGGGAAAAACATTGCTCTGCAACCCCCTGGGAATTTAACACTTTTGTGGTCTGGCACATAATCCAGGATCCTGTATAGGAATCTGCTTTCAAAGCTCCAGTGGCCTGTTCCAGCACCCCCCAGGGAGTGGTGTGGCTCCTTGGCGGAAACACTGCTCTAGGTGAGTGGAGCCATTGGTGAGCTGCCTCTAGGTTGACTTGCCTCTACTTGACTGGACTGCAGGGTTGATTAGTGCATGGAGCATGCTTCAGAAATCGATTGGCAAGCGCTCTGTATGAAGGACACACTGGAACCGCGGCCAAGGTTTGGATCAGCACCTCTTGAGATTCAGGGAATAGAATGACTCCCGAGTTGCAAAGGGAAAGGGTGCTTCCAGCTGTGCAGGCCACTTCCTGGACCAGGTGGCGTTTCCACGGGCCTCCGTACGACTTGGAATTAATCATCTCTGTTCAGCGTTCATGTTGCCTTTCATCCTGGCCTTTCGCTCCCCCACCACACCTGCACACAGATGCCATGGCCACACGCTGGGGCCGGTGATGACCTTGCAAGCCAGGATGTGTAGGGGTCATTTAGATTTACCTATTTCCAAAGAATTCAGGCTTAATGCAGGCTGGCAAATTCTGAGAACCAGGACAGCATGAACCTGTGTTCGCTCCTCAACTGGTAATCAGCACACTGGGCCTCATGCTGGGGAGAGAGTGTCCGGCTTGACAGTGTCCTTGAATCCGTCGGGGTTAATTTCACCCCCGAGCGGGCTCTGCACATGTCCTTTGCAGGAATGTAATCTCAGCTGTGATGTGCTGTTGAGGTTGACCATTAGTCTGGTTCTAATGAGACCATTTGGGACAGACTGGATGTGGTAACGCAGTTAAGCCTGCCTTGCCTGCTTGTGTCATTTCCTCTTCCTGTATCCCTTCATGTCAATCAGGCAGAAGAGGTGGGCGAGCAGGAAGGTGCCTCATTTCATGAGAACATTTATAAAATCTGAAAGAGTGAGCCAAACCAGACTCTCCCCTTGCTCAGAACCACTTTATTTTTCTCGTTATGCAATAATTTAATGTCCTGCCACTTCTGTCCATGTCGACTAGGGACTTGGTGGGTGCTTCCTTCATGGAAAATATTTAACATAACGTTGTGAAGAAGTTCAGATGTGTAAAGCCTACTGCTCAAAATGTAGATACACAGTAATATGGACACAAGAAGAGATCTCAGTACGAGACCTCATGAAAGAGCCAAGGGAGGCTACTGACATCTAAAACACCAAGCCTTTTCTGGTTAGGAATAAAATGAACCCGAACACAGGGCATTTCTCCTTTCAGTATTCCTTTATGCAAACAGACAAGCCTGGTGGCATAGTGGTTACTCATTGGGTTGCAATTCTCAAGGTGGGTAGTTCAAAACCACCAGCAACCTTGCGGGAGAAAGACTGAGTTTTCTACTCCCATGAAGGGTTGCAGTCTCACAAACGCACGGGCAGCTGGGCCTGTTCTATAGGGTTCCCGTGAACTGGCCTCAACTCAATGGCAGTGAGTTTATACGAACGAGAGAGAAAGTTGCCCATTCGTTTTTAAATAAGAAATCGTGAGTGGTGCAAAGGGTTAATGCACTTGGCCACTGAGCAAAAGCGTGGCATTTCCACACCTCTCACAGTTCCCTTGGGAGGAAGGTCTGGTGATGTAACTGCAGCCCAACGAAGGTGCTGAAGAAGGAATTATTCACAATACTTTAGTCTAAAATCCTGCTGGCGGCATAGTGGTGATTTGGTGGGCAGCCGTTGGAAATCGGCAGCCAGAGAAGTGACAGGCTCAGAAATTCACAGGGTCAGTCCTGCCCTGCCCTACAAGGGTCGCTATGAGTCGGCATTGCTTAATGGCAGTGAGGTTGGATTTTTGGTTTGCTCTTAAACTACTTATTTTACTAAAGATGAGGCTGAACCTGAGCCTGGGCCCACAAAATGTAGAATTAACAATGTGTCTTATCAGCCTCAGTTGCTAATCTGCATAATTAAAATCTCCAGAGTAATTTTTACCAACCAGCAACAGCACTGCTCCTGGGGCTGCTGGGAAGTTACATGAACAAGACGTAAGGAAATTTCCAAGTAGAAAAAACACCTCCTTAGCCCTTAATATATTAAGGCTGTGTTAGTCTGTTTTCAATAGCTAGTGAGAAATTCATCTCCTAATAGAAGAATTTAAACAGGGTGAGCCCAACCGAGCACAATCAGCTATTCCCCGCCGCCCCCCCTCCCCCAGACAAGCCCAGCGCCACTTGACATAGCCCTGCTGTGAGAGAAAAATTGGCACTTACAGCAAAGTAGCTGCAGGGTTTCTGCGTGTATAAATGTTTAAATAAAGACAGCCTAAGGGGAAATTATAAGCTCGCTATTTCCTTCTCCTTTTGAGTCAGCATCTAAAACATTTGTGTACGACGTTTGTATTTGCAATAGATTACCCATCTTTCTTCTCAGAAAGACTAAATCTTTATAAACACAGTTTCCTGTCCTAATCAATTAGATACAAATTCAGTTTTTGTTCTTTAATGTAAGTTTGTTATGAGCACATTCATTCACAGTGTGTGGCAGCGGTGTTACACAAACCATCTTCCAGTAGGCTTAATGCAATTGCCTGGAGGGGTGGACGAGGCATCCGACATCCTTCTCTCGTTGATTAAATCCAGGGTTGAGAGTCGGTGAGGTAGAGGACAAAAGTTCAGTCGCTGGGTACGACTCATTGCCATCAAGTCAATTTTGGCTCACAGAGACCCTATGGGGCAGGGTAGTCCTGTCCCTGGGTGCTTTTGAGACTGTCACTCTAATGCTTTATGGGAGTAGCAAGCCTCTGCTCTCTCCCATGGACCTGGCTGGTGGTTTCAGACTGCTGACCTTGAGGTTACCAACCTAACTCATAACCACTAGGCCACCGTTCAAAGAGGGACAGACTGAAGGCAAATTATTCAAAAAATAATGAGATATACACTACAGCTCTCCCTGCCATTGAGTTGACCCTGACTCCAAGTGAGCCTATCAAAATCTATTTACAGCAAACCCAGCCATCCCACTCGAGTCCATGAAACCCGATTGTTAGAAAGAACACAGTCCAAGAACAACCTCAGAGTCTGCGGAGGATTCAGCATTGGTATCATTTCTAGCTAAGAAAAACAGGGTAGGGTCATTGTTCTTAAATGTGCCGAGCTTCCTACTTACCCCTTTCACCCTTCTCTCATCATTCTCTTACTACAGACCCTCGCTGGATGAGGCCCTGCAGTGGCGTGACTCCCTGGACAAGCTCCTGCAGAGTAACTGTGAGTTCACCCCCTCTCTAATTGAGAAGTAGGAGTCATCATACCTCCTTTTACCACTTAAAGAGCCCAAGTGGTGAAACAGTTAAATGCTCAGCTGCTTGTCGAAAGGTTGACGGTTCAAACCCACCTAGTTACTCCATGGGAGAAAGACCTGGCAGTAGGGTCCTGTAAATGTTATAGCCTGGACAACACTGTGGGACAGTTCTTCTCTGTCACATGAGGTCATTAAGAGTTGCATTTACAGAGCTCTAGATAAAGGCATGTACATATGCAAATATATTATATGAGGATGGGGAAATAGATCTATGAGCCTACATTTATAGGTTTAGTATTAAGGTAGCA